ACACGCGCATGCTCAGTTACAGGGACACAGAGATACATAGACATGAAACAAGAGCATGTCCAGTTACAGGGACACAGATACATAGACATGAAACACGCGCATGCTCAGTTACAGGGACACGGAGACAGTCATACTCACACACATTGACAGACTCACAGCTGTACGCAGGCTGCAGTTCTCTGACAGCCTTACTGTACAGAGCTGGTTTGGCCCTAAAGACGAGGCATTATTGATAATTTGTGCTAGAGCACAAATGCGATGTCAGTAAGCCCATGGTAGTGTGTTCAGTTACAAAGTGTTAAGTTCTCCATGGAAACACAAAGATTGGCAGAGCAGAGGGTTTAAATTAAAGCTGTACGATTTTTCACGCTACCACAATGCTGGGCTTTAATTAAAATATTAATATGGGATTAGACTGAGCCATTGCGGACATATGTTCTCTTAATGCTATTTAAGACCAGATAAGCATACTGTTTTAAAAAAAGCAGAAACACCCTCACAACACTCAATGGGACTTACAGTTGCGATTCAGACAGTCTCTGGTGCAACTGGGGGTTAAGGGCCTTGGTCAAGGGCCCCTATGGTGAAACAGGTACAGGCATCCTAACCCAGTGAGCCACACACCACACCCACAGAAAGGGCAGAATCACCAGAAATAGATCAATAGCTAAAGAGGCTAAGGGGCATTTGGAAGGCAGAGGGGTTAAGGGTGCCAACGGGCATCAACCTGCGGAGGGTGAGGCCTGGGACACAGCCGGCGGGGGCCTCACCCAGCTGGCCTCAGCATGGCATTTAGCAGACATTCTCATCCAAAGTGAAGCAGGGTCAGCCAGTCCCTGAAGCAATGTGGGATTAAAGGCCTCGCTCAAGGCCCCAGCGGCGCAGGCGATTCTGGACTTTTCTACCAGGGAGCGCAAGGTTAGAGAGTCCAACCAGCCATTCATCCATATAAATATAATTGTGGAAAAAATTGTAAATACATTTAAAATAATCATTACATAGTGATATAACTCACAGAAGGCAAATGTTAATATCTTCAAATAGCATTTTCTTCTGTGCAGTAGGGGGATTGTACCCCTGGAAAATTGAAAATTGAATTGAAAGCCCAACAGTGAAACCATTCTGCAGACCCTGGGATTTGAACCAGCAACATTCTGATGACAAAGGCCCAGAGTGCTAAGCTGCTGAGCCCCATACTGCTCCCCCCTGCCTGCTGAGACTCAGCTTCCATCCATTTAAGGAAGTAAATATTTAAGTAAGAACAGCAGGCTTGTCCCTGTTTGCTTTTGCCTCTGCTAAACAAGGTGAGAACCTGCTCTCTCTGTGACATCACAGTGAGGGATTCGCCCTTCAGCCAGGCAGCACAATAATAATCTTATGAGCTGTAATTCCATTGCTTGCACATAGGGGGAGATTTGTCCACAGTGAACGATTGCGTCGGTGGCACGTCTCCCATAACTGATTTTGCATAAATAAACATCATATTTATTCAGTAACATCCCATTTTATACTTTTTATTTAGTTAGATATTTTGACATTATAAAGCAGGGGCACCCAGCATTTTCTACAACAGGAGCTGCATCTACAGATCTACTGAATCGCGACAGTATATTTCGCTGTTCGTGATCGACCAGTTGGCCACTGATGCAATAATGCATTATCGATTAATCATCTCGCGATTCACGTGGAAGCACAATTGATGGGTTGGGTAACGCCGTCCTGAAATCCGGTCACTAGGCACACAGCTCAGCTGCTCTGTATGTTTTCGTGCGGAGAATGAAGAGATTGAGAGTGTTTCCAGAGGCAGCCGAGGACACTTCACACCCAATACGGAAGCTGTCCTGACGCTGAGCTCTAAACCACCCGCCCCCTGTTTTCTCCATAGGACACACTTCTGCTTTGACGACCTACTGTCTGTGTACCTCGGGTGTCAAACAGCAACTTCACTCTGTGAAATTATTATTTCCTTAACAGGATCGATTATCACATCTGGTCAGCGGTGGCGTGTACAGCCCCCTAGGTTATTATTTAGGAAGTACACTAAATATTAAATAACAGATCCCTTACTTAGCATATGCTGAAGCAGCACGTTCTGCTAACCAGCTAGCCATGATTTTCTAACTCAACTTGCTACTGTAGTTATTTATTTAGTTTTTGAAAGATCTCTGTAGGGGGGGGGGGGTGCTGGAGGGCCCTGTGTCTGGTGTCTTACTGGATTCCTGATACATATGGGGCATGTCAGCTACCGGGGAGACTGTTGGTCATTCGCAGGATATGAACGTGGTTAAAATGTGAGTCTGATATTGGCACACAGAACACACTGGAATGTGACTAAAATGTGGGGGTTTTATCCATCTACAGACTGCTGTTCCTGCTCAGGGCCCCAGTGTCAGTGTGCTGCTCAGGTCAGACCAGACCTCTTTCTTTCAAGGGTGCTGACTCCCAGGCACTGGCAAGCCACTGTGAGATATAATCCTTATGAGACTGCCTAAACTGGAGGGTGTGTGTGTGTGTGTGTGTGTGTGTGTGTGTGGATTAGGTTTATATTACATTATAGGGACTGAATGTTCCCCACAATGTCATAAAAACCAGTTTTTTTGACAGGGTGAGAAACGTTTTTCAGGTCCCCACTAAGATCTGGGAATGCAACTAAAAAAGTAAAAATGCCAGAAGTTTCGTATTTTGTTTGGTTACTTATGGTTATGGTTAGGACTGGGTAGGGGTTAAGGTCGTCAGGTTGGGATTACAGTTTTGGGTGTGTGTGTGTGGGTGGGTGTGTTTCATCATACGTCAAACATTTCATCGTACAGCAGTTCTGGACTTGAATGTACGTGTATTTAAGCTGACAATATACGTAATTTTACAAAAGTATTTGGTAATTTCAGCTCCCTCAACAAACTGTTAAAAGCAGTATATAAATTGTTTTACCTAATAATTCTTTCTAAGAATTCGGCCCGGCACTCTGTTCTGGATAAGCGGTTACAGGAAATGGATAGTTCACGTAAATAAATCGTTAAGTGAATAAATGGAGTCTGGCAGGCTGGCAGCAATGATCCGGCTCTCCGGGATTTCTCGGTTAGAGAGCAAAAGGTGTATTTTCGTGTTTTGGTCCAGTCTGCACCCTGAGGGTGCCAGTAAGAACCTCTGAAAACGTCCATTCTCCATGAACCTGCCTTAATGCATAATAAATGTGATTTTTTTTTCCGTCGGCATTGCGCCCCCGTACACGGACTGAACAGCGACCTCCGCTGGTCGCTACCGGTACTTACCTTGTGCTGCAGCTGCGCATGTGCGGATGTAGCTGAAACTTTGCGAAGTTTCGGAGATCCTCGGGTTCGAGCCCTCAGCATCGGAGAGAAGTTTGGAGTTACTCCGTGGGTAAGTTTCGTTTGTATCACTGTTTCCGGGTGATTTTGTTTAATTTGGGATTTGGGGCAATCTCAGGCTGCTATTTTTCGTAACTCAGGGTGAACATGTGGTCATATGTTTACGGTTTAAAGTTTAAGTTTTTAAAGATTGAAGATTTAAAGATTTAAGTTTGAGGTTTTGCACAAAGTGTTTTAAGGGGTTGTAACTCCGATCTGGGGGAAAGTGGTGTACAGGCTGGTGACAGCTGGTCCCCGTCACCGTGGGTCGCGTCACTCTCCCGGTCGTGTGACTCCAAGACCATCGGGGACGTGCATCGGGGACGAGCCCCGAAAACCGCTGCCGGTGCCGCTAGAATTCATGAAACGCTGACATACTGGCCTCCGTTTGCCTTCATACTACGCTTTTACCAGCATGTGTGAGATCAGCGAAAGCAAAACCAGAAGCACTGAAAAGAGCTTATTGTGTACAGATGATTACGCCTTATTACAGTGTTATTTCATAACAGCCACTTTCACTTCGTAAGTAACTTATTTGTGGTGCGGTTACTAATTATGAATGATCTCTTTGTCAAGTTCGAAGCCATACAAGTTAGCCCAGATAGTTCAAGATCTGTCTTTTTCCCCCCAGGGTGTGTGCTGCTTAAGCCTGAGTCTGTTTGCTTTTTCATGCCAAGTCGTGCCATGAGTCGGTGACGGGTGATGTTTCTGCAGGTCTGAACATGGCTTTGCTGTGGTCGCCGGCGAATAACGGCAGCAGCAGCCAGAACGACAGCAGCTGCTCCCGCGCCACGGATGAGAGCGCCATCCTGCGAGATGCTAGCTTCGGCGGCATTCCCGTTGTGCTTCTGCTGGACTTCATAGCCTTCGTGGTGCGTGGGGCTCCTCTGGGGAGACGTGGGGCTCCTCTGGGGAGACGTGGGGCTCCTCTGGGGAGACGTGGGGCTCAGTGGTGTCTCCGCCGGGAAATTAATCCTCACGTCTCCCGGATTGTATGTCAAGATGCCCGGCAGAAGTCAGGCCAATAAGATGCCGTGTTCTACTCCATCCAGGTGCTGCTGCTTATCTTCTCCTTCATCAGGAAGAAAGTTTGGGATTATGGGAGGCTTGCACTGGTGTCGGAAAGCAACGGGTGGGTGTCACGTCCCGACCAGGGGTGATTCTGAAGTTTTTTGTAGGGTGCTGGGCCATAATTTATAGAATGGGGCCAACCTTATGATTACCCAATGATATGTTTTGAATCGGTGAGTGACAGGGGAGGGGGCACTTTGGGGCCAGTCACCTTTCAGCTGGGGCCAGTCCCTCTGCGGCCCCGCCCTTGTAGACTCTCCTGATCCCAACACAAATAGCGCAGAACCTGCTTTCATTTGACTGCCAGATACAGTGTCCCCACTGTCCCCTCAGGCTACGTGGCAAGACCCACCTCTACAGCCGCACCTCATCCAACATGTCCACCATAGAGGAGTATGACATGGTGAGGACGTGTCGCCCTGCATCCTCACCTCATCCTTCCTCACAGTCAGTGTGTCTCTGTTGATGTTATCTGCTGTTATCTCACTTTCAAAGGGGTTCTGCAGCTGGGTGCCATTTGTCCTTCGGATGGAGTAAGTAGCACGTGTCCCCGGTGTACAGTCTGGTGGCTGGATCGCTGATCCTGGATCAGCCCTGCTCCTACACTCTGTGTGTGCCTATCTTTGCTGAGTGTATATTGTGTGCTTAGTGTTTCTTACTGCAAGCTGTTACTGTTCCGCTTGTTCCCTGCAGTCTTACGTCAGTTCTGAGGTCAAGTTTAATCAGTATTTTGCAGATGTGAATTCTTATGGGCGCCATGATTCCCTCCTGAGCAGCAAGGAGATGATCGAGGAGAGATGTGGCATCGATGCCGTGCATTACCTGTCCTTCCAGCGCCACCTGATTGTCTTGCTGGTTATCATCTGTGTGGGGTCTGTCAGTGTCATCCTACCTGTCAACATGTCTGGGAACCTCATGGGTAAGTAGGGTAACCAAGACCCTCACTTTGGAATGGGACGCACTCACACCTTCACTCTCATGTCCTCACTATGGAATGGGACACACTCACTCTCACTTTGGAGTGGGACACACTCACTCTCACATTCTTACTCTGGAATGGGACACACTCGCTCTCACTTCCTCACTCTGGAGTGGGACACACTCACTCTCACTTCCTCACTCTGGAATGGGACACACTCGCTCTCACTTCCTCACTCTGGAATGGGACACACTCACTTCCTCACTTTGGAATGGGGCACAGTCACTCTCACACCCTTACTATGGAAAAGGATGCGCTCACACCGTCACATTCTTTTAAAAGATTAATTAGAATAACTTGAGCTAAAAAACCCTAGAACGGAAAACAGAACATCGTGATAATTTAGTTGAGATGCTGATCATGGGTGGATCCAAAATCGCATTCTTGTTTGCTATGTATAAGCTGAAATATATTATGCACCGTGTGCGTAATGTCCAAATCCTCAGTATGAATGATACAGTAGGCGAACGGTACCCGGGTTACATACTACACTGAGAAATTCCAAAGTGTGCAACTGATGGACGCTATACTTCCCACAAAGCCATTGGAGCAGCAAATAATGTTGTTTGCTCAGAAATTCTTGTCACAATAACTCAGGAAATTTAATTAGAAAACAATACCCAGTTACATAAGTTGAGTTGTATTGTTTCATTGGTTATTTTTTTTTACTTTTGCATACGTACTGCATTAACAGACAATTAATAAGCTACTGACGAAATTTGGTACCTACTGTGCGAGTATGCGATTTTGAACCGACCCTGTCATTTTATCATTGTGGTTGTAATCGTACGTGTCGTGGTCTAGGGAAGGAAGCAGGAATTGATAGGCCTCAGACTAGGCTGTACCTGTGTGTGGATTGCAGGGGATTTAAAAATGCTGCATGTTCATGCATTTACAGGAGACGACCCCAAAAACTTTGGAAGAACAACCATTGGTAATCTGCAGAAGGAGTGAGTGTGCGCTTCCTCAGCTGACGGCGCCGCTTTGCGCTCTGCTGAAATTTCTGCTTTCTGCAGTTGACATCTGTGGATGTTCTTATGAAAGTTCCTCACATGACACCGTTTTACTTCCTATATAATCCCTACCGTGAGGTTTCAGCAGTTCTCACATGCTTCAGCTTCATCACAATCATCTGCTGTCAGCTCTGTGGTGACCTGTGAACCCTCTTATCAGATAGGGGGCATGTGCTGTAGGACGTGTCATGTCTATGGTTTGGTCTACAATATACCGCAGCCGCGTTTTCATGTATCCTTATGCTCATGCTGTGTTGATGCCGCTCGCGATGTGAGGCGGCTGGCGAGTTGATTGTGAAAAACGCATGTTTTGTTTCAGTAACGACCTGCTCTGGCTGCACACCCTGTTTGCCGTGCTGTACCTCATTATTACTGTGGTCGTGTTGAGACACCACACTTCCCAGATGAAGGACTTTCACAAGGAGACTGTGAGTGGCTCGCGAAGCCTAACCCTCGCTAGACACGACAGCGATCATGTGCTGCACACCCATTTCAGCAACACAGCACCGATGGGAAGAACCTTACGGTCATCATGTGATTAAGTGCTACACTCCTGGTTCCATCGGCAGTTCTACTGGTCAGATGAAAATTTGAACACATTAAGTCCAGTAAAATTAAATTATGTTCTAAAGTTACATTTGAAAATGTAGCTTATCTTAGTCATGTATAATAATAATTGATTGTAAACTTACAAAACACACAGTGATCATGTGCTGCACACCCACCAGGAAGAACCTTACCACACACACGGTGATCATAAAAACTGCCTTTACAATGTGCTGGTAATCGATGATCATACTGTCTTATCATCTGATGTCCAGGCCAAGACGACTCTTCTAGTCTGTTCCCTGCCCAGAAAGGCCAGTGTGGACCAAATCAAAATGCACTTCAGGTAAGTGAGCTCGCCTGAACATCTCCTGCTCCTCCCCGTCGTTGTGACTCAGAGGCGCCGGTTCTGGTGGCGTTTAGTCACTCTGCCCTTCTCCCTGCTTCTTCCAGTGAGGCATATCCCACCTGCCGAGTGCTGCAGGTGAGCCTGTGCTACGACGTGGCCAAGCTCATCGCCCACGCCAAGGAGAGGTAGGCAAGGCTTTGACAACCACAGCCGCTTCTCTGTGCTTGCTGACCCGGGTGTGAACACGGCAGCTGCGTGGACTTGGCTGTGGAGACAAAGGTGGCGTCTCCCGGGAGTTGGAGGGCATCATGAAAGAAGCACAAATCCTTTGCTGGGAAGGAGCCACATGGCCACACAGTTTCCATTGTCTGGGCTGTAAATATCCGTTGAAGATCCTGGGATTTTCCTTCCTCTGAATGAATGTGTTGTTGAGTAAGTTCGTGTTTGGGCCCGACCCTGTCTGCCAGTAAGCCGGAGAGAGCTGAAGTTTCCCAGTAAACTCTAGGACTGCAGATGTTGTCAAAACTCCAGGTGCTGACCCAGGTTGAACCATGAATGGGGGGGCGGTTGGGGGGGGCCAGAAGGCAGTACCTAGTCAGGTGACCCACCCCCCACTGCGCCGGGTTTGCACAGTCAGCCATTAGAAAACATGGGGAAATGTGAAGTCCTTCTTAACGTGTCACTTGACGTGTTTCTTCAGCCATTAATGACACGCTACTGATGGAGGGTTTGCGTTCTCTGTACAGGAAATGCACTTAATGCTCTGAGAGTTTAATGAAATGATGGTTTATTTGCTATTCGCACAAGTATTTTTTTTTGGGGGGGGGGGCAGGTTAAGGGCCCAATGGTGATGTGACTATTCTGCCAACCGCCCACTGAGCCACACACACCGCCCCCAGTGTAACCAGTCCCTAGAACCAGTTTGACATGCATGTTTCCTGGCTGTGTGTGTTTTTAAAATGTCAGCGTTTGCTGTTTGCTTCTGTAATTAATGCTTCGTGCGGCTCAGTCTGCGAGTTCCCTGCATGGGCGTGACTTTAGCGCCCCCTTGTGCCGGCAGAGAGCGTTTACAGAGAAACTTGCAGTATTACCAGAAGATTCTGGAGAGGGAGGGCAGGCGGGAGTCCATCAGCCCCCACCCCTGTGGATACCTGTGCTGCTGCCGCTGCTGCTGTGAGATGGTGAGTGATGATGGCCCCCACCCGTGAGCACGCAGCTCCACTGAAGCCGCATGTTAAATGCGCGTTTTTCCCTGTGCGGCGCCTTGCCCATATGACCTCCGACCCTCGAAGGTGGACGCCATTGACTACTACAGCTCCCAGGAGTCCAGCATGAAACAGGCTGAGGAACATCTGCGGGAGGAGGTCCCACAGCGCCCCCTAGGCATGGCCTTCATCACTTTGGAGACTGAGAGCATGGCTACCTAGTGAGTGACAGGCTGCTGCATCCAGGTGCCATGTGAAGTTTCCTGCCTGCCGCTGAACTTGGATCAACCTCCTTCGTTTTCCTAGCATCCTCAGGGATTTTAATGCCCTGGACTGCGTAGGTGACGGAGCCGCCGGCAGGGTGACGCGCTGCGGATGTGGCCGGCAGCCCCAGCCCTCTTCTGACAGCGCGGCGTTGAGAGTGACCAGTTGGAGGATGAGCTACGCCCCTCGGCCCAGCAACATCTACTGGTCAGTGTGTCCGGCGGGTCCCACGCCAGGCCATAATTACTAAGTAATGTAGGTCTGAGCCAGAGGTGTCACTAGGGCTGTTTTGGGGGGGGGGGCTTTAGACCACTTAAAATGTTCTTTAACGCCCCTCCCTCCTTTTTCCCCCCCAGGGAGAACCTGTCCGTGGTCGGCGCACGCTGGTGGCTCCGCTGTCTCTTTTTAAACTTTTTCCTCTTCATACTGCTCTTCTTCCTCACTACCCCGTCCATCATCATCACCACCATAGATAAGTTCAACGTTACAAGACCTATCTACTATCTCAATGTGAGCACACTGCCGTCCCTGCAGCCCCCTCCCCAGCTGCCCCTTCCCTTCCTAGTGGCACCTTCCCTGCGTCCCCCTCTCTGTCCCCTTCCATGCGTCCCCCTCTCTCTGTCCCCTTCCCTGCGTCCCCCTCTCTGTGTCCCCTTCCCTGCGTCCCCCTCTCTGTGTCCCCTCCCCTGCGTCCCCCTCTCTGTGTCCCCTTCCCTGCGTCCCCCTCTCTGTCCCCTTCCCTGCGTCCCCCTCTCTGTCCCCTTCCCTGCATCCCCCTCTCTGTAGCCCCTTCCCTGTGGTTCCCCCAGTCATGCCCAGTCCCCAGGCATTGCTGATGTACACACTGCACTGCTCCTCCCATGCAGAACGCCATCATCAGCCAGTTCCTTCCCACCCTGCTGCTCTGGTGCTTCTCGGCTCTACTTCCCACGCTGGTGTACTACTCCACCCTGGGAGAGGCCCACTGGACCAGGTAACCGGGCCGCCTGGGGGTGCTGATCCATAAGTCCGAGCTGTGACTGACACACTGCCCCACTGCCAAGAGGGAAATGTACATGGCCGGAGCGGCATTTCTATAAATATGCAACTGTAGTTAATGTCTCGCTCTCCATCCATGTTTGGAGAAGCTTTGATTTTATTCTCATACACGCCTCAAGCCATCCTAAAGGCACCTACATTTTGGCTGTAAACACATTCTAGAAACACAGGGCTAGTTTCCATGAAGCAGTCGTTTCAGAGTAAAGTCATGTTCCCTGAGTCCTTGCAAATACATCACAGTTTGCGGGACTCCTTCAGCTCCAGAATGTTCTGGCTCCGCGTTTATCTTTCTGATGGGTTGAGGCCCATGGTTTGGTGTTTTCTCTCGCAGGTCCGGTGAGAACATGAGCATGATGCACAAGCTGTACATGTTCCTGCTCTTCATGGTGCTGATCCTGCCGTCACTGGGCCTGACCAGGTAATCCGCGCCGATGGCCCAGCTGTGCCCAAGGGGCACACCGCCTCAGTAAGACCTTTCACCGTAAAGGCAGCACATCCGCTGATGCTCGAAGGTCGGGATGCTGTCCCTGTGATTAGATGGTCAGATCCCTGGATCAGCAGAGTGGTGTTACCATTGTGCTCCTAAGCACCAAATGTTTCAGGGACTTGCTGAACTTGCTTATGTTTGTCACTTTGGATAAAAGTATAAAGTAAATAAAAGCTGTATTTTTAATCCTAGTTTTTACATCATTGTCAGATTCGTTTTCTAATCCCAGTTTTGCTCTGAGTTTCTCCTCTTAGTTTGTCCTCACAGTGTCTCCTCTCACAGTTTGTCCTCTCAGTGTCTCCTCTCTTACAGTTTGTCCTCTCTTACAGTTTGTCC